TATTATTAGAAGGGCGAGGTAAAATGGATGCCAGTTTTTTTGTTGCAAGAACAGTGTGGAATAAGGGTGACTATACAGCAAGGTGTATTCGAAAATGGTGAGATAGTTATATAGAATCAGGTGAACTTTTTTCTTACCATCAAAAAAAACATAAAAAAGTCATAGATTTGCTTGAAAATAAAGTTTTCTTAAATAGATGTCAGGAATGGTTACAGAAGCAATCTCTGGAGTCCCGTTCTCCTAAGGCTCTAAAGATGCATATTGAAGAAGTGTTATTACCAAAAATAGAAAAATGCCAAAAATACCATTTCAGAAAAAATGTGTCGAATATATATACATGCTTTGGGGTACAAGTATGATGAGAGAAAAAAAGGGGTGTATTATGATGGGCATGAGCGGCCAGATGTAGTGGCATATAGGAAAGAATGGTTAGAAAGAATGTTTAGGTACAAGATGTATATAAAAGATTTTGTTGGTGATATGTTGGAGATAGTAATAGAGCCCGAACTCGAATCTGATGAAAGAGAATTGGTACAAGTGACGCATAATGAATGTTACTTTTATACAAATGACGGACAGCTTAAAATTTGGACCAGAAAAGATGAGGATATTTTACGTCCAAAACACATGGGGCATTTCATAATAGTTTTGACTTTTATGTGCCAATGTCATGGGTTATTGCAGCTGTCCGAAGAGCAATTTTAGGCGAATCCACATGTTAAACACAAGGAGGCTTATGTTTTTCGCTCTGTATAAGCAGATAGATATTGGAAGGCAGAGCACATGTTAACCAGGTTTTTTTGTTTTCAATTTTATTTATTATTATTTTCCTATTATTTTTTATTCTCTTTTTATATTCTATTTTTAAATTTTTTTCTAATTTTTAAATTTTTTTTATTTTTATATTTTTCTTTTTTTGTTATTAATCAAACACAAACCTTTAATAAAATTTATTACCTACAAATTAGCTTCTAGAAAGAGCAATTCCTATATTTGAGGTATTGCATCCGGGATGTGTGGGTGTCTTCTGCTTTGATCAATCGACAAACCATAATGCTATGGCAGAAGATGCACTGGTCACAACGAGAATGAACAAAGGTCCCGGAGGTGCACAACCTAAGATGAATAATGGTTGGTATGTTGATGAGTATAGGGAAAGACATGTTCAAGAAATGGTGTTCCCGGATAATTATCCTGTGTTTGAGTTAAGAGAAAAGCCAAAAGGAATACAACAAGTACTTGAAGAACGTAACCTTTGGCCAGTTGGAGGTGTAAATTTGGTGTGTGTAGAGATGGGTTTTATGCGTGTGCATGATTGCGGAATCATGCGCATTTTATCCCATCAAGATTTCTCTTGATGTTTTTTCTTTTTTTTGCCTTTTTTTAATCATGCGATATCTTGCGTATGAAACTTTTCGTGTGCACTAATGTGCATTTATGTGCATGTTATTATAAAATGCGCATTTTTTCCATCACTAGGTGTGTGATCAGTGTTTCAGGAAAAGTGATGATGATTTTGAAGAATTGAATTGCTGTGCATGGCGAATCATTTTATTACAGCCGGATTTCTGTGAACAGAAATCAATTTTGGAAGAGGCACTTATTAAGGCAGAGCATATTTTTGAACGATACTCGAAATTCCACTGTGAATGCAATTTTATTGAACGATACTGGGGTTTCTTAAAATGGGAGCTTAGGGTATCATGCAGCTATAACTATAATGACTTACTAAGACGAATTCCAGAAGTCCTCAACAGCATCCCAACATCAACTATTCTAAAGTTTGCTCACAAATCATGGAGGTATATGGATGCTTATTGTAAGGGGTTGGAAGGTAGGGCGGCTGAGTGAGCTGTCACTAAGTATAAATCACATCGTCACTTGCCTGAAAATATAGAGAGAATAATGTAACAATCACAGGTTAAACATAAAAACAATTATATGTTGCTGTTCTTATTGAGGTTTTTCTATCAATTTTGCATCATCTAACTAGTATGCTCCCTCAGTTGTAGCATGTCAACCATACATAAAAAAAAAAAAGCATTTAAAAAAAGTATTGTTAAATCGGATCTAACCGCAAAAAAAAAAGGTTTAAAATAGATGCCATCACGATATGATCATACTTTCTATATATTTCTTCGAATATATGTGTTAATATGATATTTTAACGGGGTACCTATACTAAAATAGATCTATTCCTTCATATATCCCATAAGCCTTCATTAATCTGGTCTAACTAAAAATGAACTTTAAATTAGATAAGTTACTACTACCACACATCACTTGGCTGCTTCAATATTAGATCAGGTCCCAGTAGTATCTCAGTAGCTATTTCTAATCGCATTCTTTATGAATTTGACTGCTGGACTTTATAAGAGAAATTGATAATCGATCAATAATTTGATTGGTCAAATTTATATATAATCACGTGAAAATTGATCGTCAAAAATTGAAACATTTCACGTGATTGTCAGGTATAGATTTTCTGCACCATAGTTATATCCATATAAAAACTTCTTCTAGAAAAGAGGTGGGGTACTTTTACTCTCTTATCAGTGAGTGCTAAACTCTGAGCTTGTTGGCAAGTAGCATATGAGAACTACTTCTAAATGACAAGTGCCGTGCAAGCGGTGAGTAATAAACTCTGAAAAAGTTAGCAGGTAGCTTATGAGAACTACTTCTAAATAACAACTGCCGACTTATAGCCAAGTGTGCCTTCTGTTTTTTACTAAATGCTATTGTGTTTTTTCAAAAAATGTTGTTGGATTTTTTGGTACAGATGATCAAATACAATATATTTATAGTAAAAAAAAATATATTTTTTATAATATATAAACAGGTTATTATTATATAAAGAAATTAATAGCTTTACATTTCCTAGAAATTATACAGAAATACAATATTTCATCTATTTTTACAAGACAATTCTAAAATAGGTAGTAAATATTTTAAGCTTTATATAAAATCATTGTTTCTAAATATTTGTTTTTGCCAATAGCATAGTGAACAACTGTATTGAGAATTTAAATGATGAAAAAATAAAACAACACTCATCAAGAATATCTTATGACATAAATATGTAGAAATAGAGAATTTTGAGAATACTTAATATATAGTCAACTCTTCCTAAATGTATATTATGTGACCAAACTTTTGGGGCTTTGCATTAAAAGAACAATAAAAAAAAAAGCATTTATAGAGGTTAGTATATATTTGGGCCAGAAAATTGATATGCATTTAAGGAAATCATGTACTTAGAGGGAATACATTTAAAGAGAGCTAACTATATTTCAGAAATATATTTGGACAACATAGACTTTATCAGAAAATTTTTTTAGCTGATTATTAATGATTATTAACCAATAATTGATGATTATTATTAAAAAATTTTAATAATCATTGGTATGGATAATTATAATCGATAGTTAACTTTAAGTAATAATTATTTAAAATATTAAAAGCAATGACTATTATAAATAATGTTTATCTAACTAAAAACAATACTCATTATTATTTGGCTAATAACTTTTTTTTTAGTTTTACTCTTTAACTATAGAGTTGTGGCCCAAACTATTTTTTTGAGTTATGTCATTACTGCATAGTTTGGATTTGGAAATCAGGATTTCTACTTAATTTGGGTTCAAGTCAAAAACCCAATTGTACATAGCCAACAAAAGTAACATCTGATGATCAATTTCATAGTAAATTATATATAAATTCTTTTTTAGAAAATTTTTTATTAAAAAAGGAAAAAATCGGTTCTATCTTGCCCCAGTGAAATTTATACACTATAAAATATAAATATCAAAATTTCTAATCATATAAATTTACAAAATATTTATTATTAAAACTTTGGATTTTTACCAATTTAAAATTTTAGATTTTTACTATATTTTTACTATGTAAATTTTTCGAAATTTAATTGTAAATTATATTCAAACTTCTATTTTTTTATAAAAATAATTTTTTTTTTTTTACATTGCCTCTAAAATATAATATCACTACTTAATAACTTTAGTTAAATTTTTTTTTATAATTTTATATTTAATTTTAAAGTCAAATTTACAAATTTTATATGTTTTATATATGAAATTTTAAATCGTAAACTTTATAATTTTTTTAAAAAATCTCTATTTGTATGTCTTGATGAAGCTCATACATTATAAAATATAAGTATTGAATTTACAAATAGTATTAAAAAAAAATTTTTAAAATAAATAGAATATTGACTTTTACATTTATATAAATTTTAATTTTTTATATGTTTTACTATAAAAAACTATTGGGCATTACTTTTGTTGGCTACTGTATATCCTATTTTAGTCAATAGTGTTAAACTTAAAAAAAACTAAAAATATCTATACTAATAAAGCTCTACAACATGTTTGTTTCTGTTAAAAACATTCTGATTAGTTTATTTATAGGAGTATACAAACAATTAAAAAAAAAACTAGCTTTGCTTTTAAGTTTATAGCTTAATAGATTCAGCTCCCCAAAAGTCTAATTAATAATGAAAAGAAAAAACTAATATCCATAGTAAGACTATTCAAAATGAGAATGCTAGTTTAGTGCTTGGGTTTGTTATCTATTGGATACTAAACATACTAAATTTAATAGTAAAATTTGCTAGATATCAATATTTGTTAAATTTAATATGAAAACAGATCCAAGCCCTATGCTGATTCAATAAATATTTATGCATACTGTACATGTAATTACTATATAATGTTGTAGTTCTGATTTTTCAGGAGCTAAGCCTATTAAGTTACAAACTCAAAAGTCTAGCCTAATTTAATCTTGGCTACTCTTAAATGCAAAATTCGAAAACTATTATTATTTGTTAGTTTCTAAATATTATTTAAGAAAGCTTTACAACATATTAAAACTAGGAACATAGTTAACAATCTTTATAACTATACAAGAGTAGATGGGCATCATTAGTGTTCCTATTTTTTGTTTTATCAATATTCTAACAACATTGTTCTTAGATAACAAAAAATGCATTTGTGCTTGTTTTATTAACTCTGATCCATATTTGTGACAGTAGTTAACATAGCATTGTTTTTTCATAGATCATAATAGCAGATTTTTGATAATTTTTTAAGGTTTTACATTTCTCTTTTTCAACTCAAATTCATTTTGATAATATATTTTTTTTTTGTGAATTCGGCAATTTTGCCTCAACTTTATTAGGCTAAAATATTTAACTCATGGGTAAAATATTATTTTTGCTAAAGTAAACTAAAGCACCACCTAAATTACAAGTTTTAGCTAACCCGGTTGTTCTTAAGTGAATATCTATGTTCGATCTGCTATAGTAAATGTTTATCTCCATATCGAAAACCCTGCAAATGAATTCTTTGATATATCACTGAATGGTATTTATAGCCTATCAAGACTGCCATCTTTTCTAAACCTTCTTCCCCTAGCTTCGCAAGCAAAAGGATTCATAGTCTCCAACTGACTTATGAAAAAAAATACTAACACTAAAGATAAAGGGAACAATACAAAAGGGAAAAAGAAAAAAAAACTGCTAAAGCAACAAAAAAATGAACAAAAAAAAAAAGAAACAAGAAGAAAAAGACAGAAAAAAAACAATCTATGAAAACACTATTATAGCCCATGCTAGACATAGTTGTAAAAATTATATCCTAAATTTAAAAATCTTGTATATCTCTATTGTAAAGCTTCGCCTTATCATTAAG